TGACAACAATTTGCCTAACAATACCTGTAGTTTTCTACCGTTTTATCAGAAGAAGCGGGAAATCGGCTCCACTTTATTCTTGTCGGATTCACCTTGTAAACTCGTCCTTGGATTTCAAGTTTTTCATAGATAGCGCCAATTTGTTGACTAGAAAATGACAGGTGGCGATCGATTAGTAGTGGATTGATAATTGATTCTGTTATGAAATCAAGTGTTATTCATTGGTTTATAAATCACGCTTTTTATATTTACCCACATGTGTTTTAATAACGGTTTTTGCCACCATAGATGGATATAGTTCGCAGCTTTTTTCTACAAACCTTCTACGTTCTAACTGTTCTTGCATATTTTTAGATTTTCCCTAAGGAGGGTGAGCTCGCTGGATAAATGATTCAACAGCATCTAGTTACATTTCACTGATCAGGTTCATTTTGATAAATTTTGACGCGTTTTGTGATAAATGTTATTTTTTAGGAAGTATCAATTTTCCAAGTAAAATAATTTTACCACTAGTCACAAGCCACAACCAAAAAATTTCCTCACAATAAGAGGAATTAATAGAATCAAATATCCAAAAATTTATTCATTCAACAGATTCATAATGCTCGACCTGTTTATAGTGGCTTGTTGTAGAGATGTGAAAACGCATTCAAAGGTTGTATCGGTTCATTTCAGAAGAGCTGCTTCATATTTTTCGCAGGCGAGACGTACAAGAGAAAAACTCTTTCTATTGAACAAGAACGACACAGATCAGAAATCTTTCGTTAAACAAGAAACTAACAAGTGAAATTGCATAAACAGCACAGTGAATCATAAGAATGGTAAATGTCAGAACCTAAGTTTGCACAAAAGACAATTGAAACAAACATGCAAAGCACTCCCAAGAAACATGCGAGAACAGTGGTATAAATACCTCAACACAAAACTTACCTCTATTTCATTACACAATTGACTTTACTAACAGAGTTCTTGACAAAGAAAAAAATCGAATTTCGAAAGCACGGTATTTTCCCCTTATTTGCTTCTCGTGATTTTCATTACTAAGATGATATCTACATCTTCTGCAAAGCTATTTAACATATTTATATATTCCTTGCACATCTTAAGCATTATAAATTTACTTTATTGATGAATCCGTCATGAGTTCACATTGATGTCTTAACAGAAATAGTATCAATCTTAGAGGGGCCGGAATGCCTCCTCGGGCAAGAAGGGGAAGCAGAGAATGATAGCCGTTTCTTTGCAAAACCAGGTGAAACCTTCTCCAGAGTGCCATTCTTTTCTAATTGCAACGGACTTGACAACCGAGATTTAGCTTTTACTGATTTTGTGGCAGCCATGTAACCTGGAACTGCAGGTGAACTTGCAAGGCTTTCATCGTCTCTCACCGAGGATCCTGCTATGCTTTGCCTCCTATAAAACTCCGATTGTACACTGTTCAAACTCCTCCAATCATCTTCCGTGGCACCATTTCCCTTTATTAATCTTCCAGAAACCTTTGAGGGCGGAGTCGAAGGTGATTGCCTGCTGGGAGGTCGACTTTGTTTGTGCCTTGTAGTAGAAGGCTTGTTATCAACACGGTGAGATTGAGTCCTCATAATTCCCCCAACAGAAACGACACAACTTGCCGGGCTCTTCATGGAAGCATGATCACTGTTAAGTTCTTTGTCGACTTCACTTCCATTTTCCCATGGCCGGGAAGCCATCCATCTCTCTAACCAACTCCAACCCCAACGGGGATTATTTGGATCCATAAAAGTTTGATTTGAAGATTTTGAATTCTTCTGTGTTTTCTGTTTCAGAAATTTTTAGATCTTCATCAGTTTTAAAGCTACTTCATATAAATACAAGATTCATCATGACAACGAATAACAAAATTTTAATACCTGATGTGAATGCGCATAAGCCAATGCCCTCTCCCTTCTCATAGCTGCTTCCTGCCTGTGTTGAAGATTTGCTTCAATCTGTTCTTTAGACTGCATGCTGTCGTCCCAATTCTCTCCAGTCTGTTATCAGTCGACCAACATTTTATCCCAAAGTTACTTGAGAACCAATGTAAACACCCGGTGCATTTAGTCATAATAATGAAATAATAACACAACAAATATATATCTTTTCACAAGGGGTATTGCTTAGCACTTAGCAGTACACACTCATACAAAATATCAATATAGAGAGAGTTTTCTTTAAAATGATAATAGGTAAAAAAAAAATTCTAATGAACACAAAAACAAAGAAAAAGTTTGAGAATATTCAAGCTCTAAATGGTCGAAAATCATTTTAAAGAAATAAGAAGTCAAAACATTCTGAACAGATTTTTGTTGCAAAACCTTTTGCCTACTCTGTAAAATTGAACAAGAAAAATCAAGACATTCAATTTAAAAAAAAAAAAAAAAAAACTAGAAATTTGTTTCCTTGTATCTTTAACACTGTCGTCCTAAATAGTTTTCAATGCATGAGAAATTTTCATCAAGGAAACTGTGAGAGCATTAAGAAAAAGACTAGATGAAAATAAGCAGGCATGGTAGAAGTGTTATTTTGATTCATAATAGCAAATCCGCTAATTGGAGACAAAAAGTAAAAATAAAAAAAAGTTCATCCAAGAATGCCACTCACAGATGCTCTCAATTTTTCAAGCTCCTTCTCATGCTTCTTCTGGAGCTGTCGCTGAAGAGCCATATTATCCTCTGACATTCTAATTCTCCTCGCACAAATCTCAGATTGCACACGAGCCAGTGTCTGCATGCATTTTAAGGTAGTTGTCGCTTGACGTTTAACAGAATGCCCTTGAACCAATGATTTCAGTCTCACCAGTCCTTTCAATGCCTTCAATGCTCTCCTTGCCTAAATAAAGCATGAAGCATTAATAGTCCCTATCCAGACATAAAATCAATATAGCCTCATGGCACATTTACAATAGCATGAATGTATCAAAAAGGATAACCATACAACATTAGAAGACCATCATCTTACCAAGTACCCTCGGAAAGCTGTCTGAATTTTGATAGAAGCTATTTCTTCCTTAGTTTTACCCAAATTACGGGATACAGTTATGAGTCGAACAACCTCTGCAGCAGCCTGAGCAGCTGCAACTGCTGCCTCTGCAGCTACAGCAGTTGCAAGAGCAACAGAATAAGCTTGCCTATTCTGCTCGTCTTCAGCTTCCGTCAACTTTAATTCCTCCACCAGACCATCGGCTGCAGGAACCACCAAAGCATTTTCTTCTGCATTGGAAGAATCCAAATCTCCACTCGTCTGTTTTCCAAACCACCTTTTTGATTTATTGTTTTTCTGCAACAAGAAATTGAACTACTCTAAATTAAATCACCAAAACAAGATATTCAAATGAAACAAAGAGTGAAATCAATTTACAACCTTATATTTCTTCTCTTTCGATTCATAGCTCAGAGCTCTCTTCAACGCAGAAAACAAGCTCCCATTCTTCCCCATTTCTCAATATATAATCTTGAAAACAGAAAGCAATTCACAAATTCAGAAATTAACTCGGGAAAAATAATGTAACCATTTACAGCATTGGACTAGATTTACCAGTGAATTTTTTTCTTACCAAAAATCAAACTTATCATTCACTTAAAAATATAATTTCTTTTACAGATTCTCAAACAGATCTACACCGGAAAAATTATTTTTTCCACTCTCTTATCAGCTTGAGCAAAGTGATACCTCCATAAAGAATAAAACATTAATTAATCTGCAGTTTCTTTACCGAACTGAAAATTACTCACCCCCACAAAGGCAGCCATTCCATTTACCTTAAAGTTAAGACATAAATAGAACATCAACTTATGAACTTCATTAACAAATGTGTAACAACCATTTTGGATAGAAATCACCCTTGAAACCGGCTTGTGAGGTGAAGCACCCCGAAGTGCTTATAAACTCCGAAGCAAGTCTTTAGATAGAGATGTCAAAAGCAATTAGATTGTTGCAAAATATTTGCAGTAAGAAAATGAATATAAGAGGGAAATACAAAATAATGTGAAAAATGTTAAAACCTCTGTAAAACCCATGATCTAATTCGCAAAACCCACAAGATGAAAATGGAAAAAAATAAAATAAAATCATCACAAACTACATGGAACCTACTCCCTTATCAATCATTGTAACATTCCAAGAATAACCCACAAATTATAAAACATATATAAATCAAACATAACCAAAACTATGAAGAACTCATTTCATATTTAAAGAAAAATATACCTGAAAACTGAAATTTCATAGATTAATTTCTTTGCAAATTCTTGAAAAAAAAGAAAAGATTCAAACCGGCTCGATAATTGAGGGCATGCACGAGAACCTGAAGATTGAGACAGAGAGAGATGGATCTCAATATTCTTGTTTAAGGAAACTAACAAACGTTAAGAAATGCTGTTGAAGAAAAGAATAACGGAATAGGACAATTTCGGTATTTGACCAACGTACCTGGGGCTATTTTGGTATTTTCTGCTGTAAATGGGCGAGCAAAGATGTGCGGACATGTTTATGCCGTTAATGAGTTAATGCTAGGAAAATGGGACCCGTAACTGGTCAACGGTATAGGATCAGTTTTTTTTTTTTGCACAATTGCAACTAACAGTAAATTAATGTATTATTTAGTTTAATTAATATTAATAATAGGTTACTTATTCATATATATTAAATATCACATCAAGTGAGATTTATTTTTTTGGATGATTATAATCCTACTACAATTCAATTATTTCAATAATACCTTAATTTTCATTTTTCAATATGTAATAAATATTACAAAATCATTGGTCATGGATGAAGTTTGTGTTATTTTTTGGACGATTATAACCCTACTACAATTCAATTATTTCAATAATACCTTAATTTTCTTCTTTCAGTATATAATAAATATTACAAAATCCTTGGCCAACTATGAATTTTTTGTTATAAATTCTCAATTAATTAACATGGACATTAATCTAGATTCAATAAATCTTAATCTATATGAATCTACAGTTATTAGGGATAAATTTATTTCTATTCATGTATCTAAAAATTTTAATGTGGGTTTAAATTCATGTATTGACAATTATTCTTATGTACCGAATGTATATAAAAAAATGTTGCTTATTTGTAGTATTTGACTTTCACATTTATTTTAAATTATAAAAGAGTTTTGAGTGTAGAATTTTCTTTTCTTAAATTGCTATCATAATATAATATATTATAAGAATAATGTGAATTTTAGATTAAGCCATATTGAATATTAATCGGCCAAGATTTGTGTAGAAATTGAAGGAGGACACACTTAGAAGCCTATGAAATCACTTTGAATCTCAAAGTATTCAACACACTTAAAGATGAGTGAGAATATGAGCCGAGGGAGGGGAATTGGTCGAGCCTGGCCCACTTGATTTTTTTAGTGTAAAAAAAGTTTATTTTATAATTTTTTAATATATCTGTCCAGTATAATTTTTTTTTAAACCCCTGGCTCTGCTCTTGAATGAGGAAAGGGGGCATCCCCACTTGATTTTTCTAGTGTAAAAAAATTATTTTATGAATTTATTTTCTATATATCAGCTTAGAGCATGTTTGATAAGGCTTAAAATTCAATTAAAATTGAAAATATAACCTTTATTAGATCTTACTCGTATAATAAAAGTCAACAATAATAACTAATTTTTCAATTTTAATTCGATTTTAATTTCTACCGAACACGCCCTTAGTATAAAAAAATGTGTCAACTTAACTCTACCCCTAAATAAGAAGTGCAAGCTATGTGTACGGAAAAATGCCGTGAGAATTTTGCCAGAATACACTTGGCAGTTTTTTATTCAATAATGGGGAAAAAAAAAAGCAGCCCAATCAAATGCTGCCACATCAGCATCGGTGAAATTCTGACAACTCTGCTTCTGTACAAACAAATAAATCCAAATAAGAATATGCTCAATCTTGTTTGGTTTGATCTACTAAACATGCCTCTGAGAGTTTAATATAGGTTAGTTTCGAGTACCCCTAGTGTTATGTCATACCAAATCTTTGTCTTACCAAAACAAGTAGACCGAGGATTAGAATAAATAGCTTAGGGCAGACTGAATTCTGAAACTGAGTATTTAAGATAGTGGCATGTTTGGGTGGCAACATTTGTCTCCACATGTTAGTTTGCAACCTTTATCCTCTCTACTCTTGATAAATTAATTTATTAGTCTCTTGGACAGAGAAAAAAGTAACAACAGTCTTAAATTAATGAATATATAAATAAGTGGCTCAAAATGCAAATAGAATATTAGACTAGGGTTCCAACTACCCTCTTAGCCCCTATTTTCTGACCCCTTTTTTTTTTTTTTTTTNGAATAATTATAATTTTAGTAGCCAAACTTTTTATTTTTTTGCAATTCATACCCAATTTTTTTATATATGCCACTCACAATCTTAAACCTTTAAAAATTTATTTCCGAAACTTTATTATTTTATTTAATTTCTTTCAAAAACCCTCCTAAATCCTCCGCCCCAAATTTCATTTCTTTTTCTCATCACCAAGATTGCACCCCTCCACCAAGAAATCATACACCTAAATGTTAGAAAAAATATAATCAAGGATCTAAATGTTAGAAGAAAAAAATTGATGAAAAAAGAAAGGAATTTGTGGTGAAGGATTTAGAAGAGTTTAAAAGGGATTAAATAAAATAATACAGTTTTGGGGAAAAAGATGAGATGGAGGTAGGGTGGAAAATAAAATTTTAAAGGTTTGGGATTGTGAGTGAAACATATAAAAAATTTGGGGATGATTTGCAAAATAATAAAAAGTTTGGGTATTGAAATTGCAATTATTCCTTCTTAATTTTGATTTTTGTTACTGTTTTAGACGGAAAATTTGACGGATTTTAACGGTAGGAGTTTTTCGCACAAAATGTTTCAAATATAGGGATTTTCTGCAATTTTCAATAATTATGAAGTATATCGCATTTGAAAACGTTTCTATGGAATTTTCTGCTATTAATCCTTCACCTATATTTTGCCTATTATACTAGAATAATTTGATTGCCATAATTTTAATAGTTACTTTAAAAGAAAAATGGAAATTGAATATAGCAAAAGGCCTTACTGTTCTGTCTCTTCCCTTTTTTAATTCTTCACGTAATTACATGATTAAATAAATAATGTAAACAACAAATTAAAGAACTATTTTAAAGAACATCTGGTTATATTTTGTTCCATTAAATAGTTACGGTTCTAATAGCCCCCGTTTGGTGACCACTTTTTTGGAAAAAAATATTGTTTTAAATAGTAATTTTTTAGAGAATACGTGGTGAAAAAATATGAAATTTTTTGATTTATGTGTAAAATATTTTATTGAGTGAATACGTGACTGAAAATGAGTATGTAGAAAAAAGTGTTGTAAAATAATGAGAAACAAACACGGACTTAATTCAACATGAAGTGATAAAACACTGTGAAGAAAGATCGAGACTCATTGATTTTAAAAATATATCGAGAATTAGTTAATTAATACGCGTTGATTTAACCAATTATCGAGAATTGACTGAAATCAAAGTCTCATTGATTTGATGCTAGTACTAATTATTGATTTAATTAATAAATTCGTCAATTCGTGTCAATAAGAATGATGGAGTGAAATCAAGATGTCGTTGATTCAACATGAATAAATTCGGATACATCATATATTTGATGCTCAACACGTTATCTATTTTCTTCAATTGATGGCCTTTGACTTTCTAATTAAACTTTTATTTTTCAACTTTTAATTCACTTTTCCCAATCTTTAGATCATTTCTGCCTTAGCTTCAAAACAACCCAATCCAAAACCAATCATTTTCTAATTATTTCAGCCATATTAGATTTTTAAATATGTTTTTGTATACTTCGTGTTTATGTTAATATCATGTCTACACCTTTAATTGGATGCTTGATGAAAGCACAAAAAATGTTTAATAATGACATACGAAACATTTACTTAGAAGTAACAAATTGCACTTTCAAAAATAAAATAAAATTGGACCTTTTGCATCTTATTTGATCATTAAAGTGTCTTTTGGCCACACCTAAAAAGCATACAAAGCCAATTTCAATTTTTTTATGACTAAGGAATCTAAATTCATTCTTAACTATTTAATTATTGTTTTTAAAAAAATTATGCATATTATTTCAAGCAATATTTTAAAAAGTGTAAAACGTGATGAGGCGTGGAGGCTAAGTTTCTAAAAAAGCAAGACTCAGGAGTAAAAAAAATTTTCTTATGTTAATATTATTTTAAATTTTCAATCAATCTTAAAATCATTTAATAATTAAAATAATATATACCAAAAATATAAATTTATAAAATACTATTGAAAAAGAAAAAAGATAAAAAGCACGCCTAGACATGACTAGGCATGAAAAAGAGTATAATAGTAATAATAATAAAGCGCGAAAAAATGCGAAGCCTCGCATTTTGCACCCGCGTCGCATCTAGGTGGCTC